AGATGAGTATAGATTATTAAAAAATTCTTAAGTATCTCGTACTTCAATATTTCTTACCAAAAATAGAAAGGGCAAGATGTTTTATCATATTTAATGATCAAAATAGAAGAACAATGAATGAAATCTTCCAAATTCTCACCCCCTCCCACCCCACTCCCACGGTCCCACCTACCCAACCAACCAAATTATTATTATTATTATTATTATTATTATTATTATTATTATTATTATTATTATTATTATTATTATTATTATTATTATTATTATTATTATTATTATTATTATTATTATTATTATTATTATTATTATTATTATTATTTTGAAACCAAAAAACACAATGATATATTATATTAAGCCTCAAAAAAAAAAAAAAAATCAGTTCAATCGGCCTGATTGGGAACCAGCTACTTTAGCCAAATCATAATTGAATTGATTCGTAGGTTGAGAAATATACTGAAAGACACAAGAAATATAAAGAAATATATGTGTATAAATTATAAGAAAATTCTTACGTGCCTCATATTTCACTTCTTCTTACATGCCAATTGAAAATGTAAGATATCTTGATTATATTAAATAGTCAAAAAGAAGGAAAGCAAATAATTCTTCCAAATATCATTCCCACCCCCACCCTTTTTTGTTGACGTTGTAACATTATTAGAGTAAGTAGTCTCAAAATATTTTCCATAAATTACAATATATATAGTTGCCCTAATAATTTTATATTACTAGATGTTGTTCTAGTACAATGCTATAAAGTTATATGCTAAGATAATAAGATATATATCTCTCATAAAATTATATGGTCAAATTGAATGTATAAATTATTACAATTACAATACATGAAACAAACAAACAAAAAAAAAAAAAATTTATTTTACACAATTTGCATTGAAACTATCTATATGCTAAAGAATCAAATTGACTTTGCATTTCCACATTAAAAAAAATAATAATAAAAAATGAACAAAGGTGGTGAAACGTGTTACTTGGAGATTGATTATATATCAAAATAGAAATGGTAAAATTTGCAGTCCGATGCATATATAATTAATTACCACTTCCCATCGTCAAATCCAAATGATAATAGTCTTTTATTGGTAGCTACTATGAATCATGTTGTCTGCTTTATTCTGGATTAATATACTTTTCTCAATCAAAGTTCAATTAGGCGGCCGGCCGCTTATGTATTGTCTAATTTGCCGACATGTCGTTCAGGCCATAGGATGGATCCTCAGAGATTCGAACCAATGACTTTTGGCATGATTCTGATACTAAATTAAAGTATGTATATTATTGAGTTAATACTCAAAATGGTCCCTCGACTATGCCATAATTACCAATTTAGTCCTCAATTACCATTCTTACCCAATTAAGTCCTCAACTATGTAACTTTTACTCAATTAAGTCTTCAACTATACAATTCTTACCCAATTTAGTCCTCAACTATACAATTCTTACCCAATTTAGTCCTCAACTATACAATTCTTACCCAATTTTGTCCTCTGTATTAATTTGACTGTTTGTTGACTATCAAAAGTCGGGATAAAATTATAATTTTACAAGATTTCTCCTTCCTCTCCATTTAGCAGCGCCAAACCATGCAGCAATACACTCCGATCAGATTTTGATCGTCAAAAAATCGTTGGAAATCAAATTCATGGGCTATCCGATGCATAACCACTACTTCGATACTGACAGGTTTAGAACCCAACCGGAGCTTATTGCTACATGGTTTGGCGCTGCTAAATGAGGAGGAAGGAGAAAACTTGTAAAATTACAACTTTATTTCCACTTTTGACAGTCAACAAACAGTCAAATTGACAAAGGACTAAATTGGGTAAAAATTGTATAGTTGAGGGCTTAATTGGGTAAGAATGATAGTCGATGACCAAATTGGTAATTACGACATAATCGAGGGACTATTTTGGGTATTAACTCTATATTATTTAATGTCACGTTTTGATTGTAGGATGTTAGATTTGGTTCACTAAGTCGTCAGCCTCCACCCAACATTATTAATTAAAGATATTGATGTCAGGATCAAGCGCTTCTAACTTTATTTCCTTATACTTATTAGTTTCAATTGCACAACATGTTTTCAATGGTTCAACCAACTTTATTTCCTTATACTTGTAATCTACATAAAAAATAATTTTTCTATAAATGTGTTAAATAGTGCAATCCCAATCTTTTTTGCATGCAATTCCATTATTACTCTGGCATAGCTTTTTAGGAGATAAGTAATAATGTCATTATCTCTATCTTTGGCAACCTTAAGCACAATACCATATATCTCCTATGTGTGTAAGTATTATGATCAATCAATTCTTTTTTCCTGTTTAATTTATTCTTTTTGGGGTGTCTTTTTTCAATTACAGCTCGACCACACCTTAATTGAAGACTCCAAATATTGAATTGAAGTTATTAATTTCCTAGTGGTCATGGTTTATCTGGGGAAAGGGAAATCAACATCCACTCTATCTGACAATATGCATTGAGTAAATTCTGATCGTATTTTTACAAATCACAAAGAAGAGATAAATCACAATAGATAAACCCTATGCGACGATCTCAATCAAAAAGGTACTAATAAGAATCTAACATTTAAATATGATAATCATATATGTTCCATTCACTTGGTAACTCATTCTCAATTTTAATAGTGGGTGCATATGAGAATGTGTGGTTGTAAATTAAAAAATAGTGATCATAATAATGTTGTCATGAGATGTGATTCTAATGATGAGTTGGACCGATATGATGCAATTAATAGTGGTTCTAATACTAACTTTAGCAGCAAAATTTTGGTTATTGTATCCAGCTAAACACAAAAAAGGAATGATGGCTGTAAAGTAATAAAGTTGAATTTGCATTTTTTGACTTTTAATTTCAACTATTAACTTTCCGGAATTTGATAACCCCAAATCCTCCATGCACATTGCATCATATGAGAAGATCAGATCAGGTTTACTATACTACAAGAATAGTAGTAATAGTTTGTTAACAGCTTAGATTAATTCATGAGTTGCATAACTGATAAATCTAAAAAATATTATTAGTCAAGAAGTAAATATTAGAGAATCCGGGACTATGTGGTCTAATGGTATCCGGGTTGGACTTCTATTTGGAAGGTTATGAGTTCAAGCCTCAATGGAGGCGTTATTGGTTTTTTGTGTTTCAGTAGATTGAGAAAGTATATGAACAGATGCTACAATGTAATAGGGCCAGTAACATTCAAAAAAAAAAAAAAAATTAGAGAATCAATTTAAAAGGAAAAAAAAAAAACAATTTTCTTAACAATCATGCAAGTATTATAGGTTAATTTGTGACTTTGTGAGGCTATAGACAACATGCGTGAATCTGTTATAACGTATTGTTAGGATAAATATTTTAATTAGAGATCTGTTGCGATAAATATTTTACCATTTTGCATGTTGATTGGGGATGCCCTAATTATAATCAAGAATTATCCTAAGTAATTGTCCTTAACGTACGGTACTAGCTTAATAGGGCACACGTGTGCAGAAGGTGGGTTATTTTCTATCTCTCTTTTTATTTTTATTTTTTTGTTTTTTTTTTTTAAACGATTATTGTAAACGAGAATGCGGGAATTCCCTGGAGCGAGCGGTCAGGTGGTTGTCACAATCGGAACCAGCTGGTGACACCTGTCAAAATCATAGTGGTCCATTCCAGATACTTCGAAATACAGTCATGAAGAACACTGGGCTTTAATAAATCTATCTATCTAGTATTCATATGCATCCCGTCAGTATAAATTTTAGTAACAGAATATTTTGTTAATTATTTATTATTCTTAACTTGTTGATTTTTGATAAGAAAGTTCTTAGGTTCTAACCTCATCTCAATCAAAGTTGACATAATTGTGAAACATATATTATTAAAATGTATGATAAGGTGTATTTACCAAAGTTTTTACCATATATATATGGGCGTGCTCCGGTGAGAACTACTGTCCAGGAAAAAACTAAGAACCAATCGCAGTCGTCCACGTGTCCATATTAGAATGAACTAAGAACCAATTGTCGCCGTTCACATGTCTAGATTTAACGAATCAAATGTAATTTTAAAGAACGACAATGTGACATTTTCACAAATAACTCAAACTTTGGTGCAAGTAATGTGTGTAAAAGTGTAAGTAACTGGTGCAAGTTTGCAAAAAAATTCACCTACAAGTGCAACCATTTTCACTAAATAGTGCAATTATTTTATCTTTTTAACATTATTGGTACACCTAATGATAACGTCTTTCACATTGGTGCACTTAATAATAGTGTTTGGTGCAACTAATGATAACGTTAGGTGCACTTAATATTGATGCTCAGTGTACATTATTTGTTTCACTTTTAATACATTCATTTTACTTGCACTTTTAATATATTTTTTACTTGCACTTAGGTGCACTATATAAAACTGTTACTTGTACTTTTAACACAATTTACTTGCACTTCAAAGTTCAATTATTTATGAAAAATGTCACCGCTTAGAAAATAGTATTTTTGATCCGTTAGATCTGGACACGTGGACAGCTGTGATTGGTTATGAATTCTCTCATGGCACTTGGTTTTCACCTTATTCATGTCCTCTCTCTCTCTCTCTCTCTCTATATATATATATATATATATATATATATATATATATATATATATATATATATATATATATATCATACAACATTACAACTTGTTCTTTATTTGACGCGATTCAAGAATTCAAACATTTGCTCATTCAAGAATTCAAACATTTGCAATCTGTAATCATGACATAGACTAATATTGGGCGGCGGCTTCAAGTACTGAATCCAGCATTTTGTTATTGAAACATAATACTGACTGCTATGCAAATATAAAGAAATAAAGTTGTGTATTCATTTTAACTTTGACACTGATACCTTTTATCTGACAATTGACATCAGAGCATGATTAAAAGCGTAGTAGTGACTTTACATATTTCATGAGAACTAAACTAGGCCCCTACCCCCCATCTAATTGTTGATATCAAATACAATACAATGCATACGGTAATGAACTGTACGTACTGTCTGCACAAAGATCGCCAAATTATATTATTATAAATCCGATCCTCTGCTCCCAGAAAGAGCCAATATGAACCCCTGCAGGTTGACAAATGCAGCAACAGCGAAACTGCATGCATGCATGCTTCCAGGATATCAATAATACCCATAATATATATAAATATAATCCAGCCAATTAAGGTCATTATTCATGGTGCCAACGAGGAACTGTGAACTGTGAAGCTAGCCAGGTTGTCATACAACGTAACGTGTCGACCCCTTCATCTTCCTCCCCGTACGTTGTCTGTCTGTTCTTCAGATTCATATGTATAAATTAGGTAGCTAGCTATCCTAGGCAGATCGAGGATCTTGGTGGGGATACTGAGGTGCAAATGATTTGGGCAGGTGTCAAATTCTTATAACCTTTCCCATGCTTTTCTTCTTAGGTTTCGACAACGTCGCATGCCTTTCTTTAAACCCTACACTTTCCTGCTACTCCTAAAATATCTATCCTTATATCGTTCATGTACCTCACCGCCATTCCTTTAAACCCTTAGTCTTTTCAAAATGACGTGGTTTCTAGGTAGCATATTAACCGCCCATTAGCGCACGATACATCACGCTTTAATTATTTATATACATTAAACTTTGTTTTCTGTGTTGCAGTCCAAATAGTCAATACTATACCCGAGTTTAATTTTGTGAATTTCTTAGGACGAGAGCCACAAAACACAATTTGTTTGACTTAAACTTTGTTTTCCCTGAGTTTAATTTTGTGAATTTCTTAGAACGGGAGCCAAAAAACAAAAGGTGTTTGACTTAAACTTTGTTTTCTTAAATATATAGAAACAACATTATAAACATACTATAGATTAAACAAAAGTATATATATATATATATATATATATATATATATATATATATATGTGTGTGTGTGTGTGTGTGTGTGTGCGCGCGCGCGCGTGCGCATGTGTAGATTTTTTAACATATTAATTTGCATATAGAGCAAATAATAAGAACACATAGTACAAACTACAAACACACATATGGGGGGTGTGGGTTCGAGCCTCAGTGGAGGTGGCATTGACTCTTTGTGTTTCAGTAGGTTGAGAAAGTAGTTATGAACAGATACTATATTGTAATAGAGTTAGTAGCATTCAAAAAAACATGATAGGATTATAGTATAATGTTTATGTACATACAGGTTTTTTTTTTTTTAATATAAACATATAAAATAAATGTTAAATAGATATGATGTACCTACAATTTAATGTTTATGTACATTAAAGTTTAGGTTTATGAACATATAGATCATAACAAATATATTAAATATAGTACATGATGAAAGTTATTAACATGATGTGCTAGTTGACACAGCTAACGACTTAATATAAAATAACGTTATTTTAGACCAGAGTCTACCATGCAAGATAAACCATGATTCACGATATAATTTGGGCTAAAATAGTAAAATGCATCGTGCATTTCCTCCATCACGATTAAAATTTAAAAGTAGCCCAATTTGAGAATTAATATATATTTCAAGAATACTTTTCTATTTGAGAATAATTGATTAAATAAAATATATATTTCAAACTAAAAGCTATTCTACTTATATTGGAATATAAGGATAAGAATTTCTTTATTTGAGTAGCACATATATATAAGTGCTTGTTGATATATAGGGTAGCTGGACCCTATATGTGTGTGCGCGCACACGCGCACACACACACACACACACACACACACACACACATATATATATATATATATATATATATATATATATATATATATATATATATATATATATATATGTATGTTAATTTACTATAATTTGTGTCATTTAATCATTTATAGCACATCAATAAAATAATAATTTTTTTGAATGACCATATCAACAGAACTTCTAAATTATTGTGATTTATCTTCTCTATGATTTGTTGATGATCTCCTAACATGATTGGATAATAGCACTACCAATCAAACTTAAAATGTTAATACAATCATTAACAACCATACCCTTATAAGACAATTTAATAGAATAACACATGATAACTTTGTTAATTGAGAGTTTAACATTGATGTCTTAAAATTTTTATTTGATCCAAGAGCTGAGAGAGCTTTTTTGCAAGCCAATGTGTTTGCCAGTTACACAGGTTCTGTGTCTCCGAGAAGTATATATCGACAATATAATTCATTATTTTATCAATTGAAAAATTAAAAAAAAAAAAAAATTGCCAAGACAAGTATAGGATTTTGGTTTAATAGAGTCAAAATTGTATAATTGCATCTTACTCAACCACCAATCACACCCTATACACATTCACATACATATATATATATGCACACGCAATATTACTAAAAAAGTATGAAAGTTTTTTCCTTTGATGATTTGTGGAAGAATAATTATTAATAGGTGAGGCTAGTCAGCAAGTGGAGTGGGTTATGAGTTTTTTTTTTTAAAAAAAAATTAAATTTTCTATTTAATGTGATATTTTCACTTCATTGACCATAAAATGAACTTTCATTTTTAATAGGGTTTTTTAAATAATTTTAATTATTTATTTTATAATGATATATGTTCCAAACCAGTCATTTGGGACAGTTGGTAAATATACAACGAATTTAATACAATTGAAAGGTTGAATATAACACACCACATTGCGAGTCGACATTTCAATAAGAATATATATATTTTTTTGTTTAAATCTTTGGTACATATCGAGCTAAAAACAACAAAATAATATTAGGATGTTAAGTCGAGTTTACTTTAATTTTTAATTTTTCTATTTTTAGTTTTCTTTTTTCCGATTTTCTGTTCCTGCTTCTGTTTTCTAGATGTACAAGTAAATGTATTACATGCCGGCCTATTACCTATTATCTAAAAAAGGGACAAAAGAAATTCTCCAATTAGTAAATGCACTAGTCTGATCTCTCACTCTCCGAATCTCAATCTTTGATACATCTAAGAGAAGCAATCTCACAATAATATCTCTAACGAACTGTCACATATACTTATGTCTCAGTCATACATCTGCTCCAAACTAGTGAGGTATGTGTGAAATCATGCTAGAGTCACACTCTTAGAACCATGGATGAACATGAACTATCATTATCAATAGAATTAAATGAACACATAGTATTGTGACATTTGATGAGGGAAATTCAATTATTTTTGTTTTCTTTATATGATATTGTAGATATATATGCTAGATGCACCGGTCCTATATATATGATGTACCGGTTATGATCTGAGGATGGGAGGTAGTATATATACATATATAGATATAATTGAAAGCTAAGGTGGATTCGCGATCCCACCTTGGAAATGAATAGCGCATGCGTACGTACCTATATGATATATGTATTATATTATTGGTAGGTATCTAGCATCTAGCATGGGGTCAAAATTTTGAAAGTAACATATATATTACTTCAACATTAATTTTTATAGAATGTGGCACGTGAAAAATAATTGGACAAGTTATAAGTATAGGTACAATAAGTTTTTTTTTTTTTTTTTTAAATAGTAATGGCGTAATAAATTGGACCGACAATAACTATCTAGAGTTACATTGTGAAATAAGGGACTGGGACATAAGAATGTATTAGTGGAGTTAGTATGAGGCAGTTAGTTGGTCTGATGAGAATCGGAGCTGTTTGAGTAACTGTTACAATATAAGTACAAGTGAATGAGTGTATGTGTAGATGATGTTCTCTTAATGGGGTAAAATTAAAGGTGTTTATTTATACTATAGACGTTAACCAGTTATGTGATTACTTGTAGCAAGTGTGGTTGATGTGCCACATTATAATTGCAAGAGGAAGTTAAGGCAGTCGGTTACCTAGCCACATTTTTTATGTTTTAATAATCACGACGAGGCAAACTTGAAACCTTAAGATTGCCTATCAAACTAGACTGTCCAACCAACTTAACTAGTGTTGTCCTTGATACACTAGTGTATATATTTTCTATATTTGGTGTTCATGATGATCTTATTACGTTTAGGGTTTCCTGATGAATCCCTATCCAATTTGGTCAAGCACTTAAAAACAAGATCTAGCATCAGTTTTGGAGGGCGGCCTCTAAGGTGGGTTTTAGCCAATTCAAGACGCCTTTCTAGCTTTAAATGCTAGCGGGTAGATACATTTAGTGTCGATTTTAAAAACCGACATTATGCCTAGGTAGTGGACAAGAGTAGTGTCAATCGTACATTGATACTAGCTAGCTTGTATCTAGTGTAGGTTTTAAAAATCAACTATAGATGCCAGTTTTTATAGTAGAGATAATTGACACTATGACATGGTAGCAGACAAGAGCAACGACAACCATATACCTTGACACTAGCTAGCTTAGATCTTGATGGGGTAAAATTAAAAGTATTTATTTATACTATAGACGTTAACCAGTGATGTGATTACTTGTAGCAAGTGGGGTTGATGTGTCACATTATAATTGCAAGAGGACGTTAAGACAGTCGGTTAATCCACTTGGATGTCAGTCAAGTTATGCGCCCATCAAGTGTCAGTCATAGCTAGCCTCCAGCTACATACTTTGTCATCTAGCTTGCAGGCTTAACTCCTTCGACGGTTAACAAAGGGGTTGCTAGTCATAGGTCTATTCTATTACAATGTGAATTATTAAGCCAATTGAATTATCTTATAATCATCAAGTGGAAGCACTTATTTCTATATAGCATATTTTTACTAATGTGAAATTGGGATGAGGCAAGACAAGTTTTTATGCCATTTCACTTTTTTTTTTTTTCCTAATTTTATGAATATACTTTTAAAATCAATTTCTTCATGCATTCTCCTATTAATTATTTTAAAACATATATGTATATAAAATTCATCCACCCATTTAATAAAAAAATTTAAAATCTAGAGCCGACCAAAATCTTAAACTGACCACACTCAAAATAATTGAGCATGCCTATTACAATAGAATGATAGATAACGATTGTCACTCTAAATAATTAAATTTAATTTTTTTTTTTTTAAAAAAAAAACGACAACTGTCTAAATTGTTTTACTCCCCTAAATTTCATATTACTCCCCAAGTTTTCAATCTTAATACAAAATGGCAAAGATTTTGTATGGTGATTATGTTTTTAATTAATAGATTTTTTAAAAGATTTTTTTCTCCATAAATATAATCCACAATTCAAGATAAATTAATTTTTCCCACGTTTGATTAATGTTACATTCATGATTGATAATTACTCCTTACTCCCATTTAATGTGCCCGATTCTATTAAGTATTAACAATGTTTAACTAAAATTATTTACAATTTAATTTTTCTAATAATAATAAGTTTAATATTAGAGTGTAAAATTTATATATTTAGAAAATATATTAAAAGTACTATTAAATACAAAATGTTAAATTAAAAATAAACAAAATACTAAAGAAATAAATAAAGAGTTAGTTTAACCAATATACAGTAAACATAATAAATAAAAGAGTTAATACCATTTGAGGTCCTCCGAGTATAGTGGTTTTGCCAAGTTTAATCCTAAACTTTCAAATTGATCATATGTGGTCCTTCGACTTTCAAATTTAACCATTCATGGTCCAAGTTAACCACATATGGTCCTTCAAGTTTCGAAATTTAACCAGTTGTGGTCCTCTTGAAAGGACCATGGTTGGTTAAAATTTAATAGTTGAAGGACCATGTGTGGTTAAATTGGACCACGAATGGTTAAATTTGAAAGTCGAAGGACCACAGATGGTCACTTTGAAAGTTTAGGACTAAACATGACGAAACCACTATACTCGGAGGACCTCAAATGGTATTAACTCTAAATAAAATATGATATATGGGTTATGGAGTATAAAACGTATGCCAAACATAAGTTTGAACCCTAAATTTATGGGGCATTCATTGCTTTGTCATGTAGACTAGAAGAAAATATAAATCGTGAAACATGTCTGAACTGACCGAGAGACTCTTAAATGTTTATACACAAATGTCTAAACAATGACAAACATAATATTATGTGTGACTATCATCAGGGACGGAGTCAAAAAATTATTTGAGTGGGGGCGAAGTTTAAATGACAATAGAAATGTCAATTACAAAATATCAAACAACCATAATAATATTAAAATACAAAATATATTATAAATTACAATAGAATGTTTTCGATAGATTACACGATAGTTAGAGTCGGAGTTAAAAATATAATTGAGTGCGGTAAAAATGTGAAAATATTTATGACAAAATATGAAACATAATCAATTAGATAAAATAATTTGAATAACATTATGTTCATAAATAATTTTTAATTTTAATTTTACAATTAAATATAATATAAACGTGTATACTACATTAATTAAATGATTCATAAAAAATAGATTAAAACAGCATTTAATTGTTAATTAAATTAATTTTTAAAAATAGACTAAAAATATTTAATTTATTCTGGATAAAAAATGAAAGAGATAAATAAAGGGATAAGGTGAGAGAGTGGAGACAGTTGCCCCCATAGTAACTCCGTCCATAACTATCATTAACATTTTTCATTTTCTGTTAACATATTGTATTACGGAGTAGTATTTATATTTCTAATGTACAATGTACAATTAATTCAACAAAAATTATTTCAATCAAATATTTTATGAACGTGTGAAAGGTATAAATGTTACTTTTGGTAAAACTCAAAAGCTTAAATCTCAAAGAGGTAAGAGGTCAAGAGCTAATGTTGAGGTACCTCCAAATGAAAAGAGTCCATGGAAAAAGAAATCCATATTTTTTGATCTTCCATATTGGAAGACATTAGATGTGAGACATAGTATTGATGTGATGCATGTGGAGAAAAATGTGTGTGATAGTCTTGTTGGAACTCTTTTAGATATAAAAGGTAAGACTAAAGATGGACTCAATGCTAGATTAGACTTGATTGAAATGAACATAAGAGCAACATTAGCTCCACGCCAAGGGGATAAGAAGACATATTTGCCACCAGCTGCTCATACTTTATCAAGAAAGGAGAAAATAAGTTTTTGTGAGTGTTTACGTGGAGTCAAGGTACCACAATGGTACTCATCAAATATTAGAACACTTGTGAATATGCAAGATTTAAAATTGGTGGGATTGAAATCTCATGATTGCCATGCCTTAATGCAGCAACTATTGCCAGTGGCTGTTAGAGGTATATTGCCCAAAAAGTTGAGATATACTATTATAAGGTTTTGTTTCTTTTTCAATGCTATCTGTGGAAAAGTGATTGATCCAGACAAACTAGATGAATTGCAAAATGGCATTATTGTTACATTGTGTCAGTTGGAGATGTATTTTCCACCGTCATTTTTTGATGTCATGGTTCATTTGGTTGTACATCTGGTGCGAGAGATCAAACAGTGCGGTCCTGCTTATTTGAGGTGGATGTACCCATATGAACGGTACATGAAAGTCTTAAAAGGTTATGTGAGGAACCGGTATTGACCAGAAGCATCTATTGTTGAAAGCTATATTGCTGAGGAGGTAACTGAATTTTGTACTGAATATTTGGCGGGGGTAGAAGCTATTGGCCTTTCTAAGTATCGACATGAAGGAAGAAGTGTTGGGAAAGGTACTCGAGGACGCAAAGTAGCCGGTATGCCTCGTGAAGATATTGAGGAAGCACATTTGTACATCTTGCATAATACAAGTGAAGTCGAGCCATATTTAGATGAGCACAAGGCACTGATTAAAGAGCAAAATCCAAGAAAGACAGACATGTGGATTGTGAGCGAACATAATCGTACTTTTATTAGTTGGTTCAAGAATAAAGTTCTGAGTGCTACTAACTATTCTGAAACAGTACGATGGTTAGCTCATGGTCCTTGTATGCAAGTCATATGTTATACTGGATATGATATAAATGGATTTTCTTTTTATACAAAAAAACAAGATGAAAAGAGCACTATGCAAAACAGTGGAGTTTCTTTGGTTGCAAATTCAGTGCACTTCAGTAGTTCAAAAGATAAAAATCCGGTCATTGCAGAGTTGTCATATTATGGTGTGATTGAAGAAATATGAGAGGTTGATTATGTTCAGTTCAAAGTGCCGATGTTCCGATGTAAATGGGTAGATAGTAAACACGGTGTTAAAGCTGATGAGTTAGGGTTTACACTTGTCGATTTGAACAGGGAAGGTCACAAAAATGAGCAATTCATAATGGCATCTCAAGCAAAACAAGTATTTTTTGTTACTGATCCTAGTGATAAAAAATGGTCTGTTGTTCTTCATGGAAAGAGACAAATTACTGGTGATGGGAATGAAGATGTTAGTTATGAGATTGAGGAAATACTACCCTTTTCTTCAAGTTTATTACCAGTTATTATAGATAATGAGATAAATGAAGTGCATGCATCACGTGATGATCATCATGAAGGGCTATGGGAGAATTGATTGTTATTTGTAATGCTTTAACTTCTTCTTGTGTTTACTATATCTAAATATTTACAGTTATATTTATGTATATTATTCTTTTGTCAATTCACTAATAATTTCTTTGCTAAACAGGCATATGGATTCATCAAATGACCCCCCTGTTGATAGTACCATCCAAGCTAAAAGTACTAAGAAGAGGCGGGGTGCCACCGTTATGACAAAATTAATTTCTGGGCGTGGTGACACAAAATTGGTGGTTCAATTTAATAAGAAACACGAACCTGTTGGGCCAGGGAGCACCCAATTCAAAAGTTACTTTGCGTTGATTGCACGGAGCAAAGTTCCAATCACATATAAAAATTGGAAAGAGGTCCCAGAAGAGAGTAAAGTGCTGCTGTGGGATGATATCATGGTATGCAACTTATTTATAAAACTATTGAATTAATTGTATTTAATTTGTTTCTAATAAGTAATCTTGTCTTGCAGAGCGTTTATGATATTCCCACTGATGATGTGGATCTGAAGGATTCTTTGATGTCATATGCGGGTGAACGGTGGAGAGATTTTAAAGCTAGATTGAACAGAGAGTACATATTCCATAATGAAGATCCAATAAAGAATACTCCATGTCAAACATACACATTTATTGATCCAAATACATGGAAAACGTACGTGGAGCGGCGTAAAACTGCAGAGTTTGAAGTATATATTGTAATTTTTCTATCAATTATTTATTAACTCAAATATGTTAAAGATATATATTTTTACTTAATGTTTTCTTTTTGTGTAGGAATCAAGAAGGAAACATCAAGAAATACGGAGTAAGAATGTTCATCCACATCATTTAGCCCGAGGAGGCTATAAGAGATTGGAGAAGATTATGATGGATGAGAAGATGAAAGAACAAGAAGAAGCTGCAAGATCAGATCCATCGTCAGTAGTTGTTCCTCCATCTCCGCCAGCTAGACATGAAAAGTGGAAGAGGGCAAGAATGGACAAATCAGGAAATATCAACAATGAAGCGACTAGAATGGTCGTGGAAAAGATTGTAAGTAAAATGTTAAAATTTTCTACATTATTAAATATTGTTTTTATATGTTAGGATTTGCTATCATTGCAAGCTTCTCAAGGAGAGTTTGTTGAGTCCGGTACACAAGATATATTGTCTAGTGCCATAGGTACAGATGAGCATTGCGGACGTGTTAGAGCCATGGGTAGAGCACATGGCTTAAAAAGCTACTTTGGTCCTGCAAAACGTCGTCAAAGCCAGTCTACACCAGAAGTGAAAGATATGATTAAGACAGCAGTTGCTGAGGCGTTAGCAGTTGCCCGAGAGCAATATGAAACATCCTTGCAAGCAGCCATTCGAGAGATGAGGGATGAAATTAGTAGTATGAGGACTCCAGCGGCTCAACCTGTACCATCAAGGCAGGAGGAAGACATGCGTGTAGCTGTCCAACCACATGGTCAAAGTGAAAAAGCAAGCTCTCCAGACCCTTTTGCTGATTTACCGGCCGTAAGTAATCATTTATAACTAATCTTATTATTTATTAAAAACATTTTACCTATTTCTTAATATGAATTCATGCAGTTAGGAGCCGAATGTGAATTGTTTTTGGAAGATCCCATTAGACGTAAAGTTGCACGTGGGATAGTTTACAAGGCCGAAAGGGTTCACGGGATACAAATACATGCGGATCAAGTGAAGGTCACCGTGACTGAAATTCTCGTGTCAAGTGCAAGTGTACCCTTCCCTACCGATGAGGTTCAACTGTTAAGGGATGCATTGCACAACTTTATTATTTGGCCAAAGAAGTTGGTTGAGTTGTATACCGAAGGTGATGAGGTATGTATTTTTAAAAATTTTGGATTTTAAAATAGTGTTTAATTTACTTTTTAAAAATAGTAATTGTTAGTTATATTGAACAGGTACAAAAGACTTATGATTCCGGTGTGCAACGACCTTTTGCTGATCTGAATATAGCTGATCCGTCTTCTTTGAGTCCTCGATGTCTAAAGGTATATAGAATTATTCGCAAACTTGATGAAAATGTTGTGATAAAGATGGAGCGTGGTATTGTGGGCGATGTTGACTATCGCTTACAACTTGACCCGTTGGAGATTATGCGTTTCTTAAGGATGGAGACGTTAGATGTTTCCATATTGCAGTTCTTTATAAGGTAATAATTAAGTTCTTTACTTATATTTGTTTATATAATATTTGTCATTCATTTATTATATTACTGATATATATGATTGATTGTATTTTTGAATAGGGGTCTTTATGACAAATTTGAATTGGCATCAAAGACCACATATGGCTTCTTAGATCCGCATTTCATTCAACCAGTTTCAAATACTATAGATGAACGGACAGGGTATATCAACGTCACCATGCAATATGGCAAAAAACAATGCTATCTAGAGCCATATATTTTAAAGTAAGTTTTAATTGTTTAAAATAAAATAACTTATATATAATACACTTTTATTATATATTATATTTACTTACAACTAATATATTGTTGATTTGTAGTGATCATTGGATGTTGATGGCAATTTGTCCTCAACTTAATGAAATCTATTGGTTTGATTCAATTGGAGGCCAGCCACGTGATGACATCAAAGATATTGTTGAAAAGTATGTGAACTTATAAGTATTAATATGTATAATTAGTAAAGTATAAAGTATTTATGTAAACTAATCTCTTATAATTTTAGGTGTGTCAATTCAGCAAAGTTGTTGAGAAGCAATGGATCAACTCGTTCACCAAAATGGACTAAGGTTTTGGTAAGTATTTTATACATTTGTAAAACTACATATATTTTATTGTTTTTTATTAAATAAAATTTTAAATGTAATTTAATTCAAATGTAGTGTGCTCAACAAGTTGGAAGTACGGCATGTGGATATTATGTGATGAAATACATGCTTGAAATTCTTTCCAAAGAAGCATGTGCGGGAATGGATAAGGCATGTAATTTAATATAATACCTTTCTTTTTCTAATTTTAAAAATGCTAGCTTACTAATTATTTAATAATTATCAACTTTGTAGATTGTTGAGAGAGTTGGTAGATCGAGCTACACTCAACAAGAAATTGATCAAGTAAGAGATGTATGGGCCGACTTCTTTGTTGATGTATGGTTAAGTATGTAAATTAAACAAATTGATATTAGCTTTTGATAATGTTAAGTTGTATTATTAATTAGTATCAAATTGTGAGATTCATTACTTTTATTACTTGTTTCATTATAAATATTAGATTTTACATATTTTGCTGTGGTTGTGGTGAAATAATTGAGCAGGTTTTGGTTGTGGTTGTGCAAATTGAGCAGGTTTAGGTTGTGGTTGTGGTTGTGAGAAATTGAGCAGGTTTAGGTTGTGGTTGTGAGTAGATTTGAGCAGGTTTTTGGGTATAAATGGACATATAAACTGTATATTAAAAAAAAAAAAAACACTTACAACGTCGGCTATTAAGTAATAGCCGACGTTGAATATATTTAAAAAAAAAAATAAAGTTTACAACGTCGGCTAATAGCATTTAGCCGACGTTGTAGGTATTTTAAAAATAATTAAAATACTTACAACGTCGGCTAATTGCTAATAGCCGACGTGGTAGGTGTTTTAAATTATTTTTAAAATACCTACAACGTCGGCTAAATGCTATTAGCCGACGTTGTAAGTATTTTAATTATTTTTTAAAATACCATACAACGTCGGCTAAATGCTATTAGCCGACGTTGTAAGTATTTTAATTATTTTTTAAAATACCATACAACGTCGGCTAAATGCTATTAGCCGACGTTGTAAACTTTATTTCTTTTTTTTTTTTAAATAATATATAACGTCGGCTATATAAATAGCCGACGTTATAGATAATATTTACAACGTCGCCCGCAACAACTACGTATCTTAGCCGACGTTAAAAGGTCTATTTAGCCGACGTTAAAAGCCAGCTGTGTAGTAGTGAATGTTATTTAGAAATAAATCTCTTATGGAACGTACGTTATTGCATACCCATTGAGGTTGAAAATCGAAAATCATTTAACCAAAGTATGAAAATCTCATCATTTTGTAAACCGAAATAAAAATAAAATAAAATAACACTACCTAGGAAATTGTGTGATGGGACCACGATATCTCCATTTATATCCAACAAGCCTCATCAGAACGCAAAAACACGACAATTCCAAAAGTTTGCTAGATTCCGGTTATATTAAATTTTACTTTTTTTTTTCCAAAACGTTGAATCCCAATTCTAAAGACCTCCACATTCCGATCCAGTAGAATATAGGAGCCCCTTTCACTTTGAGAGATTACTCTCACACTGTCGCTGGTGAGACTCGATCTCTGATCATTCTTTCCAACTTTCACCTCTATGACCAGTTAAGCTGCCCATTCGGACAAATTTTACTTCTTATTTTTTCGGTATGAAGTTTTCTTTATTGTTGTTTAAAAAAAGAAAAAAAAAATTGAATCCTTAATTCAATGTTCCCCTACGCCCTAGTTTGATAGAGCATTTAGTCTAAGAGGATGTAAATCATGATAATTGATAACGCTACTGGTGACTCTATCTCGGATCATTGTTCTCAAATTTTATTCTCGTGACCAACTGAACTGCCCATGCGGACTGAAGTTTTCTTTATTATTATTATTGAGTTCACCATTTTTATTTGAGACATTTTGTCCTTCAATTGAAAACTTTCAATGTACATTCAAGATTATTTTGATTTTGATCCACGAGCAATTGATTTTATATAAATTATCTTTATCTTTGAACAATAAGTAAATAAATAAACTAGGAATAAGGTTCAAATTGACCACTGAACGTAACCTGAAAATGCAATTAGGCCACTGAACGAACAAAAAGTGCAATTAGGCCACTGAACACTCCAAAAACGTGCAATTAGGCCACTGAACTCTCCAAACGTATGCAATTTCACTGGATAGCAGGTTACCATCAATTTTAGCAGGTTACCTGCTTACGTGGCAGCTGAGTTGGCATTTTTAATAAATTTTAAATAATTTTTAATAATTAATTTTAATAATAAATTTTATAAAAAATTGAAAAAAAATTAAATAAAAAATAAAATAAAGTCGTTTTTATTTTTTTAAAATTTTTTTAAATAAAAATTTATTATTAAAATTTATTAAAAATAATTTAAAATTTATTAAAAATGCCAACTCAGCTGCCACGTAAGCAGATAACCTGCTAAAATTGAGGGTAACCTGCTATCAGGTGAAATTGCACATTTTTGAAGTGTTCAGTGGCCTAATTGCACTTTTTTTTCGTTCAGTGGCCTAATTGCATTTTCAGGTTACGTTCAGTGGCCAATTTGAACCTAATTCCAATAAACTATTAAACAGAAGACCAAATGCAAGTAAACAACTTGATTAAAAATCTTAAATAAATTTAAATCCTAATTCCTGAAGTAAACTCTTCTTGAATTATCAAGACGAGACGTAATAAGGATCAAATGTGAAAATACTGTATTTCGATTAGACATAATAAGAATCGAACGTGAAAGTAACTTGTCTCGATTTGTTTATATTAGACATGTAATTGTTTGTTCTTGGTTCTTGTAAACTGAAATGGCAACACAAAATTAAAGTTGATAGTTGTAACCTAGCTAGCTTCTTGATCACGTGAACAAGACATCACCATTGTATTACTGCGTACGTACTGGTTGTGATTGGAAACCATGGATCCATGAAGATAAGATTTGTCAAAGATAGACAGCTCTTGTTGGTTTGGACAGATGTTCGTGTTACATGATTTTCTATTGGAACGTAAAGTACTGCGTTGAAGGATAACCTAAGCCACCAACCATACTCAAAGATATTTTATCTTCGGATTTAACAGTATATACATTGCAGAGCAAGAAGTATCATGTCTAAATAATGCTATCCAGCTACACAATCACCCACCCCCTCCCCCACCTGAAGGGTGTGGTTGAGTGAAAGGAATTCATTTTTGGTTAAGGTTCAATCCTTGACTTTGGGAATGGAGCAGCTTTAAATCTCCAGGCCAACTGTCCCATCTAAAAAGGTGCCTACAATTCAGCGAAGCAGTCCCACCCAAAAGAGGTGTCTACAATTCAGCGAGGGGACCTCTCAAAAAGAGGTATCTGCAATTCAACGAGGGAATTAGTCACTATGTTCGACGGTGGAAATTCTGTGTATACCAAAAAAAAAAATTCACCCCCAACCCACCCACCCCCAACAACTCCACCCAGCATTCACTATCTATTGTTCATGATGGCCTAGATTGCATTTCTTATAGTTGCATTAACAACCAGCTCTCAACTCCATTTGGCATTCACTAGTTGCGTTTGCAAAGTTTGACAAAATATGAATTATTGACCATTTAACTTTATAATTCAATCAATAAGGAATTATTGACCATTCAACTTTATAGTTCAATCAATAGTTACCTATTGACCGCCTCAAATTTGAAGGAACTAACTTCTCCAACACGATTGGTAATCATGGTTCTGCTATCTCTATCTAAAGTGATGGGATAACAGCAGTTATACGATGGACCTGAGTACAAAATATACCATTTACATACCGAATGTTCACAATCTACATATTGAATTTAATATGTAAATTGTGAACATTCAATATATAAATTGTATATTTTTAAATTCGAATATACCTTGCAACGTGGACCAGGTCCACAGAATAATTTGATGTTGTGATAATGGACAGTGATCTAGAAGTCCAAAACGAACCATGACCCAAAGGAAGAATGGTGTGTGGCCCAAGCTCAGCCCATACGGGGCCAAAGTGGTCTTGACCCAAAGGACTTTTGGCCCACGGGTATCAACAACCTCCGCATCTATATTCTATATAGCCTAGAAGAAAAACAACCTGCTTGGGATCCAAAACCAATCGTTGTCAAATTGGAAAACCCGAAGCAATTGCAGGGTGTTTCATTAGCACTTTGGCCGCTTTTTTTCTTCTTCTTTTAGAAGACAAAAGAAATTCACAATTAGTATCTAAGGTGTAAATTGAATAAATCAGTACCTTATATTGGAATAAACCTTGTAACTTAAATCGGCAAAAGTTGGTTATAATCATTAAGAATTGTCTCAAATTAAGAAAATTAATAACTGCTGAAATCACCCTGATTTACATTCTCCCAAATTTTATGTTGGGTCGGGATGTGAGGAGCACTTAGGATTGGGGATTCAACTTTTTGGGGAAGAAAATTAATAGCTCCTACTAAAACTTAATATAAAACTTTATCATTACTAAGTCTATCAGCAAAACCAACTTGGTTGAAATGGTCCCACTTTGCCACTTTCTGACTATTGTAACTGCTCCACACAACCTCCAAGTAATTACCTAGGATTTTAAATGTGTAACTAATTTGAAGCTCCCAGGTAAAAACAATCAAGATACCATTTTAATTTCGAAATACGTTAAAGATTCACAAGATCGTGATTTGTGGATCCGAAAGCATACCTACAGCTGCTTAGAGGCACCTTCAAAATCATAGTTATAATACTACAAATAGCTCAAGCTTTTACACCTTACCCACCCCACACACCACACCCTTAGCCTCTTCTCCCTGCCATTACACTACCTATGTAGGGGAGGAATAAAAGGTGTTCTTGGCTTCTCATCTTGGGTTAGAATGATGAATCCAAAGTCAAATATACGTCGCAATTCTTCACTGATGATTTCCAATGACTTGCGTGCAACCATGAACCTCAGCATTGTGTCCTGTTAAAGGATGGTTGCCAAAGGGTACTACCTGCGCAATGAATTCAGAGGTCGACAATGTTAGTTGACAGTTGACACCATTATACCAATATTAGTCTCAAAATAGAATAGAAGAATTTAAAGCTGCAAATAGTATTATAGCCCAATGCATTTACTTGATCATTGCTTGAT